CAGGCATGAGAGCGAGAGACCACGGGTGCAGGGAGAGGACGCGGACTATTTGACAGGAGGCATCTCACTGTGAGTGAGTTCGCAGCTACTTCCTGGCTGAGTGATGTGGGGCCAGTCCCTTGACTTCTCTGAGCCTGTTTGAAAAATGGCATGTCTGTGACTCATCCTGCTGCTGTGAGAATGGATGCGAACACGATGGGGAGACCCAGGGGTCAGATAGCTGGTGACGGAGCAGATGTGCCCCAGTGCCTGCCCTCAGGCCCACTCCGGTCATACTCTGTGCTCAGAGCCCCTGATAGGGGTGGATCGAAGGGGCAGCGGGAACGCCTGTACTTTGCAGCCCTGTGGCTTATGAGCGTGAACACATACACACGTCTGCCCCGTTTCTGACTGTCCTCCCCTCGGGCCTAGGGTGTTCGGGATGTTCCACCAAGCCAGCGACCGCGAAGCCGTCTACGCCTGCTTCACCTTCTCCCACTGGCTGGTGTACGCCAACAGCGCGGCCAACCCCATCATCTACAACTTCCTCAGCGGTGAGTGGGCTGGGCAGTGACCGAGGGCAGCAACCGACCCCAGGGCAACAGTCCCCCCACCCCCGGTCCATTCCAAATAAAGGATGGGGGGGAGGGAGGCCCATACCCACTCCTTCCTGGGAATCATGACCCTGCCCTGGTCACTCCCACTCAGGGGGAAGACTTAACCCCAGGAGCCCTGCTCTGTGTGGGAGACCGGCCACTCTCCCAACTGTGGCCAAAGAAAGCTGGCCAGCACCCAGGTCCAGTTTGGCAGATTAAGCAGCCCAGTGAGCGGGTGGGGAGGGCAGCAGTAGGCCAGCGCATCTCCACCCCCACCAGGTGTGTGCCCAGCCGGACCTCCTATCAGCCTGCCTGGTCAGCAGGCTCCAGAGGGAAGCAGGCCTGTGGGAAGAGGGCCTGAGGGATGGCTGCATCATCAAGGCATCGTCGGGGCTCAGGGCATCACCAGCAGAGGCAGCCCAAGGCAGGGCGAGGCTTTCCCCATGCCCAGCCAGACACACTGGCAGAGTGGCCAGAATTTGGGGGGCTATCCCTGGATCCATCCTCCTCCAGCACCAGTCCTCCTGCTCCCCACTCTGGAAATCCAGGCCTCCCGGTCCCCAACCCCAACCCCAACCCCAACCCGGCCTTCTCTCTCCTGTCCCGCTTCCCGTGCCCTCCACCTCCGTTTCCACAGTCCCCAGCCCAGCAAGTGTGACTCACCTGACCTCTCACGGCCTAAAGAACCGGTCCCGATGACTGTACGGGCCTGAACACAAATAGTCATCCAGAAAAGGTTTGAAAGGGATCTGGGGTCAATATAATAACCCTCATGAGACTCAACAATTACTCAACAAAGGCTAGCCAGGTGGTCTCCAGCTCAGAGAACAGAGATGCACGCTGCAGCAGGCACAGTGCATTCCTTTGCAGTTACCTTTACGAAGAGCCTACTGTGTGCTAGGCCCTCTGCTGGGCACTGGGGAGGCAGGCGGCCGCTGAAACACGATCAAGGAGGTTTCAGTTCCAGTTAAATCCGTTCTCCTGGTGCGTTTGTGAACAAGGTGGCTGTGGGAGTCCCTCCTCCCCCACTCCCTCGTCCCAATTAGACACAGGGCTTTAGCGTCAGAACCAGCGCCAACGGCTAGCTGGTGACCTTGGGCAAGCCTCACCTCTGTGCCTCACGTGTGCAGTGAGGATAAAGGACCCCAGGCTCTCATGCCTGGTGTGAGGGCTGCTGCTGCGGTCCTTTTCATTTCCATGGGACGGAGATGGGAAAGCCTCGGGGAGCCCTGAGCTGCCCCCCTCCCCCACCTACACACCCAGGAGGGCAGAGATGATCTCAGGCCCCTGAGCCAGACACCATGTTTACACGGTGAGAGCCGGGCTCAGAGCCAGAGCGCAGTCAAGGAATCAGATAAAAACTGCATTTCTCATTGGGAACCTGCTCCCGGCCTGTTCTCTCTCCCCGGCAGTGACGAGGTGGCTCTGGGGCCCCCCATCCCACTCTCCCCGTCCCTCCCACCCCCTCCCAGGCAGCTGGGCTTGGGCTGCGTGGGTGTCCCTGGGCTCAAGGCCCCTTCCTGCTGCGTCCGTCTCCTGATGGCTGTGTCTTCTGTCTCCCAACCAAGGCAAATTCCGGGAGCAGTTCAAAGCTGCCTTCTCCTGCTGCCTGCCCAGCCTGGGCCCCTGCGGCTCTCTGAGGATCCCCAGCCCCCGCTCCTCTGCCAGGCACAAATCCTTGTCCTTGCAGAGCCGATGTTCCGTCTCCAAAGTCTCAGAGCACGTGGTGGTCACCAGCGTCACCACGGTGCTGCCCTGAGCGAGGCCACCCACCCTGGCGGCTCCAGGGGGTGCAGCCTGTTCCCTGCCTGGACTGCTCCTCTGGCTCCCAGGGGATCGGCCCCGACTGCTTGTGGGCGCAGCGTGAGGCCAGGGCTCCAGTCCTGGTTTTCTACCTGTTTGACTCTGAGCAAGCGACACCCCTCCTCTGAGCTGTGTCCGCTAAACAGGATTGATGCGAGGATTAAGCATGCTCAAGAAAGTGGAACGCGCTCTGTAAATTGTGGTGCCGTGGACAAGATCACCATTGCATTCCTCTCACTCGGCTGTCCCTCACAGCACCATCGGTCCTCAGCACCCTTCCAGAGCTTGGCCTTCTTCGCAAAGACCCCTCTCCTCCCTGACTGCAGGCCTTCCCCAGAGTCTGCTGGGAGGGCCCAGTAACCTTTCCATCCTGCCCGGCGACTCCCTAAGCCCAGGCTGCACTCGGCCAGCCCTGCTCCGCTGCCCGCCTGACTGAACCGGGCCCAGCCCTCCCCGGTGGGAACACAGCCCGCCCCCCCACCCCCACCCCCACCCCCACCAGGTGCCGAGTGCACACACCAGACTGGATCCTTCGGCTCTGTGGTGTGATAAAACGCTCTTCATGTGACCATGTGGCGTGGAGGCCAGCAGCCCAAAGCAATTGTAATTAAAAGCCTGGCACTGAATGTTCCCTTTCCTTGTCATTGCACAAAATCTGTGCCTCTTAAGTTAAAAGCGAGGAAGGTGGGGAAGACAAAATCTGTGCCTCTTAAGTTAAAAGCGAGGAAGGTGGGGAAGACGGGGGTAGGGAGAGAGGACGAGGCTGCAGGGAATGCTATCTGCTGACTACTTCCACCTCCATCCCCCAACATCGCCAGGCCTCCGGGCACACACAGTGCTGCTTCCCCAGGCAGCGCCCAGTCTGAGGCCAGGACCCCAACCCTTGCCGTGCCTGTCTGCTCATGGGCCTGGGGGGCTATGGGAGGAAAGGGGGGAAGAGGGGGCAGACAGCAGAGCGAACAGACTGACTTCCCATTATCATCGCCTCTGGGCATCAGGGCTTTGTGTACTCAGTAGGGCTCAGAGGATAAAGGGAAAGACACAGACTTGGCTGGACGTGCTCTGCCTGCCACCGGGGTGATTAGAGGGCTGCCGGGGGCAGGAGGTGGAGCGCAGGCTGAAGCACTGCTCTGCGGAGGGGGAGGCACCTGGCCGAGGCTGCCGGGCCACGTGCACCGCTGGGTGTGCGCAACCTGATTAAAGCAGCCACAGCCTCCCTCTGACCTCACCATCAGGAAGTGGGGCAAAGCTATGGTCTTGCCAGGGCCCAGCCCAGGAAGCACCCCTCCTCGTTGGCATCACCAGGACATGTGGAAGGCGTCACCCTACTCTCTAGATGACTCATCCGCCCTACACATCGTGGCCATTCCCACAGACGTGCAGGGCGGTCAGCGGGGTGGGGCTGTCATGCCCATTTCACACTCTTTTTGGCCTCAGGGTCCAGAGCTGTTGGTCAAGCTTATAACCAGGCTTGGAAGTGCAGTGTGCAGAATGAGGTGAGGGCTGCCCCAGACTCACAGCCAACTGTGCCAACCTAGGTCCTGGGCTCCTCAGCCCTCGCTGAGCACAAGACGGATATGACTGGCATCATTCTAAAGTGGGCTTCAGTAGACACTTGGCTCAGTGGGAACAAAGAAACAACAGAAGCTTCCCCTACTCTCTGCTGGCTGAACCCAGTGCCATGTGAGCCTTAGGCCTCCACACAAACTGGAGAAAATTCAGGGGACGTGACCAGAATGACAAGGGGAGAGGTGCTCAGTGAAAAGCTGCCAAAGAGCCAGGGCTTGGAGGGAACGTGTGGCAGATTCCAGGCACTGGAGGGTTGGCGTGCACTGAACTGTCACTGGAGGTTGGCAAGCAGAGGCTGGACTCACATGGGCCATGAGGGGCTCAAGCTCTGGATGGTGGCTGGCCTCTGGTATGCATCTAATTCTACGACTCTCGTCTACAGAGAATGGGACTGAACTGCCCAGTCCGACATACCTGCTGGGCCTCACTGAGCTGCCAACAGCCATAGTTTCTTTCCCCAACCATCCACTGCAGAGAGGAGCCCGCCTAGGGCTTGGAGCTCCTCTCTTCATCCCCCAAAGCAAAAGGATCTTCCCACCATCAGCCATGGTAAGGTCCCCCGGGCAAACCAGGTGTCTGGTGTTTGGACTGAAATTTTGTCAGCTCACCATGGACGTTCAGTGTAGACTGGTTATCATGCTGATCGGAAGAGCCGGCAGACAAGTACTGCTGTCTGTGCTTAATAAACACGGGGGGAAAGTTATGGCTTAATAAATGCAGTTTGTCTGGAGGATGAAACCAGGGAGGGCTTGAGATAATAAAAAAGGCCAGGCTGTAAAGTTTGGAGTGGCTGCGTCCTGCTCAGAATGCCAGCCCTAAAACAGTAATAAAACACATAATTGGCCTCTTGAGCTGAGTCCAGCCCCCTGCCCTTCAACTTCACCCTGTAAATGACAGCAGCCTCGTGTAGACGATGCCCCCTCCGCTGCTACTTTCCGAGCGGCGCGGTGCGCAGTAGATACTTAAATCGTTGTTGAATGAAAGGATAACTGAGTGACTGAACAGATGAGCACATAAATCCGTAGCTGGGAAGGCAGAGTGGAAAATGTGGGACAGAGTTCATCCTTTTATTGAAGCTTACAGTTTCACTGAACTTTTGGCTCCGAATGAAAAGGGCATTGGCAGAGGGAGGTGGCAACTGTCCCCTGGGGACAAGTGGTGGGCAAGTGAGGGGTCCGAGCTGAGGAGTGCAGCAGCCTTGCCCAATATGCTCAGAGAGCAGACTGCCCAAACTCCCCGAGCACGGACAGCCCGGGTGGCTAGGAGTTGACACACACGGAGGTGGGCATGGGGGTGGTGGAATGCAAGCCCTGGTCCCTCTCTTCCATGCTTGGCCAGCTCCACTTTGGAGAAACTGGCTTCATTTGAAAGGACAGAATGGGCGCGGGGAGACAGGTGCTCACAGTAAAACACCGATGAACACTTACGTCGGGGCACAGAAGGGAAAGAGAGGCTGGAGTCCAGCCGATCATAATGACTGGCATCTCTGCTCCTGCTGCACGGCTATGCTCAGGGCTGAAAGGACACGTACCTTCCAGTCCTCTCCCACATCAAGCCCAGGGCCCACTATTTCGTGGCTATGACACAGGGGTCCCAGGCCTCTTGGCGAAATCACTGGAGGAGGAGGAGCAGTAAAGGAGAGCGGCCCACACGCTTCTCCCACTCCAGAGCCAGGAGAGGCACCCCAGCGCCACCACTCTCTACGGACAGGCTGGGTCAGAGCATCCGAGAAGCTGTCATGGTGACGAAGTCCTCGAAGCTGAGCCGGACGTTGCCCTGCATGGCGGTGTCCTTCTCCCGGAAGGCCTCGGTGAGCACCTGCAGCTGCGTGCACACCTGGATGAAGCGGTCCAGCTGCATGGCGGGGCTGGCGGAGCGCGGGCAGTAGCGGGAGACCAGGAGCTGGCTGAACTGGGGGCTCAGGTTGTAGCCCATCTGGGACAGAGCTGGAGAGGAGGGGTACACAGAGCAGACACAAAACCCATCGTGAGCACTGCCATCAACCAGCTCCAGAGCACAACACTTCAGGGGGCTTGTGGGATCAAGCACCGGAGGAGGAAGAGGACAGAAGTCCCAAGGGTCTGTCCAGGATGGCAGCAGCACAACAGGGGCTCCGCCTGGATGCCCCCTTAGCTGGAAGGCTCGTCCCTTTCTCTAAATCTCCACTAAGATCTGTTAGCCAGGGGCTCCTGGGCCCCTGAATGACACCAGGCCACTCATGCTCGGCTCTGATCGTCCACATTACAGGAAGACTGAGACCACAGCACCACTGAACCGGGGCAGACAGCCAAGGCAGCACACACAGGGGTTCCGAGGACCTGCTCGGGAGTCAAAACAGCCCTCGGCAAGTTACTTAACCTTGCTAGTCCTCTGAGGTACCATCTCTAAATGGGAACAACACTTACCTGGTCGGTTTCAGTAAGGATGAAAGGAGATCAGGCAAAGCACCGGGCACAGTGCCTGACACATAACAGACACCCAGTAAGTGTTGTTATAAATAATAAAAACATCAGCCGAATCCGGTTTGGCTCAGTGGTAGAGCGTCAGCCTGCAGACTGAAAGGTCCCAGGTTCGATTCGGGTCAAGGGCGTGTACATTGATTGCGGGCACATCCCCGGTAGAGGGTGTGCAAGAGGCAGCTGGTCGATGTTTCTCTCTCATCGACATTTCTAGCTCGCTCTCTCTCTCTCTCTCTCTTCCTCTCTGTAAAAAATCAATAAAATATATTTAAAAACAACAAACACACACATACACACACATACACACACACACACACACACACACACACACACACACACACAAATAATAAAAACATCATCATTGACCCAGGCAAGGCTGTGGGCAGTTCCAAGGTCACAGCCTATTGTGCTGCTGCCCACGTCCCTCCGGCCTGGGAGGTTTCAACCCTCCCTTCCCCCCTCTCTCCCTCCTCCTTCCCTTCTTCCTTCTCTTCCTCCCTCCCTTCTTCTCTCCCTCTCCCTCCTTCACTCTCTGCATAATCTACTGCCCCAGGCTAGTCTCATCTCTCCTTAGGCTACGTGGCCCGAGAGTGTGCTACCTACTCCATGCCTCAGTTTTCTCATCCATAAAAGGATAATCAAAAGGGACCCTTCATCTAAGGGGCGGAGGGTTGGGAAGAGAGAGAGAATAAACAGTACCTTGCACAGGAGGAGAATGAATAATGTAACACGTTGAAAGAACTTATTACAGTGCTTAGCCAACATTCATTCAATAACTACTAGTTTGGTTGCAATAACATCACCCTTACCAATATTTACTCTGCAAAAGAATAGGTGGTCAGTACAGGCCATCTCCTCTCCCTTCTGCCAGGGTGCAGACATGGTGACTCCTCCCCTCCCCACCACAGAACTCCTCAGTGGGACTGAAATCCACGGCCAGGACAAGGGGCTGGGTTCTCTGGGGATCCCTTTCCCCCTCTCAGGTTCTCATCAAACCACGAACACTCTTCCTCTGGCGACCGCTGCTCTAGAGTCAGAACTGGACCCAGACCTGGAACTGTGGCCTCTGATCATCTTACCCCACTGCAGCATTTAGAGTCTGGGCCCGAGTGGGGAAGGTAACTGCCTTCTGGTAGAGCCAGCAACAGAAGCCATCTTTCTGAGCCCCCACACAAGGCTCTTCCCATTCTGCATGCTAGACACTAGGGCGGAGAGAGCCACACACACCACACATACTGGTCTCACCGGACCCTGGGAACTACATTTCCATCCCCGAGGCTCTGTAGGCTGGGCCTGTCTCACCCAGCACTGCCAGGAGTCCCATCACCAGGAGTCCAGCCCTGACCCCGGACCCAGGTGTCCCCCTGCCCTGGGTCTTGGCTCAAAGCCGCAGCCAGGCCACAAAAGGAGAGGAGTCACTCTGTGCTGAGGGCTGTATTTAGCAGGGCAGTGGACATTGGTAGTCAGAGGCTAGAGCCGTGTTTGGCAAACCGCGGCTCGCAAGCCACATGAGGCTCTTTGGCCCCTTGAGTTTTTAGCAAAGGCCAGCTTAGGAGTACCCCAACTAAGTTAATAAGAATGTACTACCTATATAGTTTAAGTTTAAAAAATGTGGCTCTCAAAAGAATTTCAATCGTCGTACTGTTGATATTTGGCTCTGTTGACGAATGAGTTTGCCGACCCCTGGGCTGGAGAAAAGGCCCTGCTCCGCTTAGCAGAGAACACTGCCCTCACCTTGCTGCAGCTCTGTGTAGCTGATGGAGCCCGAGTGGTCTCGGTCGAACTGCTGGAAGAGGTTCTTCCACTGCTGGATGAACTTCCACAGCGCTGAGAAGCCGTGGACGTCGATGCGGCCTGCCTTGGTCTTATCGAACATGTCTTGGGGAGACGGGAAAGAGAGAAGGCAGGCTTCAGGGTCCGCAGGCAGCCCTTCTCCTCAGGCTGATGGCACCGGAGACTGCACAGAACCACAGACCCAAGGCCCAGCTGATTCGCCCTAAGACTTGCCTTCATCGAGTGCCACAGCAGCCCCGCCCCTGGCCACCCCTTCCAGAACTGCATTTTCTCTGCAGGCCTGGCAGATGACCCCTCCCTGCCATCTCCCACCAGGGCATGGAGCCCCGTTCTGAAGAATGGGAAATGGAGTCAGCCTGTGACTCAGCAGGGCCTGGAACTCGAGAAAAGATCTCGGGGAAGCGCTCTCAGTCTAGGAGATCTCTCCTTGAACCCAGTTTCCTGTCTGAAATCCGCTCTGGCTAAACAGTTTTTCTGAGAATGGTCACCCACCCACCTACAGTCAGACATCAGGTGGCTCTGGCCCGAGCCCATGGGGAAGGGCTGGCACTTACTTATCATCATGAGGCATGTCTCGTCATTGAACGTGGACCAGTTGGAGTTGACCAGCGCCTGCTTCAGCTCCTTGACGGAGATGTAGCCACTGTGATCGGAGTCCACTGACTGGAACCAGGAGTACGCCTCAGGATCCACATTGGGAGGGGCGCCGCCTGCAGGAAGGGGTGCAAACCAGGGAGTCCAACGGAGGTCTCGAGGCCAATCCGCAGAAATGCTGGTAAGAGCCAGTCTAAGTGCCTCCCTGTCTAGCAGTTCTCTCTATCCACAGAGATCTAAGGGGACCTACTCCTTCTCTTTTATGGCCCTGCTCACTCCACCGTGTACATGTTTTTAAACCGCCTTCCTGGTTAGACTTGGAGCAACCGCTGGGCAGGAGCCTAACTCATCTCTGCATCCCCAGCGGCTAGCACAGAGGCACGTACAGAGGGAAAGTGCTCAGTTCGTGCTGAGCTGGCCTCAGTGTAACAGCACTCCGGACCAAAGGCCTTTCCAACCTCCTTCTGTCAACCCAAGACCCCTCAGAGCCTCAGCCCCCAACCCCCATTTTATAGCCCTGGTTACAGTGGTGCCTCACACAACGAACTTAATTCGTTCCAGGAGCAAGTTTGTTATGCGAAAAGTTCGTTATGTGAAACGCGTTTTCCCATAACAATACATGTTAAAAAAAATAATTCGTTCTGAAGCATAAAATATGCTAAGATGACATAAAAAAAGATAAATTTTTTGTTATTATTTTTATTTAGATACATCTAAAAACATAATTTTTAAAAAAAAACCACATTTTTTTAATTTTCAGACAGACTAAGTAGAGTCTACCGAATCTTGCACATCTTCATCCATTTTCTGCTTTTTGGCCGATGGTTTCATGAAAAACCTGAAATCACCTTCCTGCTTTTTTTGGAAGCCATGATATAAAAAAAATATTGAGTTTAACTTAAAAGGACGACTGCCGTGATACGTGCGTGATTTAATTCGTAATGAAGAACGATTGCCGCGATACGTGCTTAAGTTAAGCGCAGTGACTAATGACTGCCTGCAGTGCCTGCGCGGAAGGATGCAATACATCGGCAGCGATCGTGGAAGCTCGGGCGAAGCAGTCGTGGAAGCTCGGGCGACTTCGTTGTGTGAAACGAAGTTCGTTGTATGAATCATGAAATGAAGTTCGTTGTGTGCAGCGTTCGCTGTGCGAGGCGTTCTTTATGCGAGGCACCACTGTATTTAAATTCTGTGTAGCAGTTTTCTTATCTGTAAAATGAGGCCACAGTAGCATTTACCTCATAAATTATGAAGATATAATAATATGAAAACCCTAAATCAGCTCCTGCTACAATCTAAGCACTATGTGACTGCAGATTATTAGTGCTGCTGTATCTGCTGGGAGTATGTACCGTAGGTAGCTTTGTGCGTCTGTCAGTAGATGGAGGAAAGGGTCACTCACTTGAAAAGACATGGAGTGAGCTGGAGAGAAGGGGAAAGGATGAGAAATGGAAGGGAAGATAGAATGGACAGAAGACTATCTTAGGAGAGGCCGCAGTTACACAGCACTGCTAAACCTAATGACCTATCTGGCCACAAAAAAGGCCCCTTCCCACGGGCAGTATCAGCCACAGCCACAGGCCCTCCTGGAGCACAGAAACCACCACCCAGTCCCAGAGATGAGGCCAGGAGGTTTGCTTGACGGAGGGACTATCTAGCTTCTCTGAATGGGAAATCAGGCTGCCCCACCCCCGTCCTTCCTAAAACAGCAGCTTTGCCATGGAGAGTGAGGGCCACAGCCCACAGAGGGACAGTTTCTGGAACAGGTGGTCCCTGCAGTTTGCATGGAAGAGCCGGGCTCTGAAAGCAAAGAGCTCTGACCCTTGCTAATTTGTGCAACTTTAGACTAATTGTTTCATTCTTTTCAGACCTGCTTCCCAAGGTGGTTGTAATGACGAAATCAGATAACAACAACAGAAAGTTTCAGCAAAAGGCCTGGAATATGTGCAGTCCCATTTCCATGGAGGAGGAATACTTAGTAAACTGGATCTGAAAAGATGACAGCTGTTACAGAGAGAAGAAACACAGAGTATGTTCAGAGTACACTAAGGGGTCTGATGGGAGGGAGAAGCAATCCAGGTGAGGAGGCTGGAAAGGCCCTTTGGGTTTGGAGTGCCATCCGGGTATTCCCAGTGGGCGGTGGGGCACCCGTCCTGGTCAACCCTGTCTTACAGAGCAGTGGTGCTCCAACCTCAGACCCTGCATTCAGTGGGGCTGAGGTGGGGCTTCAGGTGGAGTCCCATCCTTTTTTACAGATGATATATGGATCGCGCTTTAAAGCACTGCTGCAGGGGGCCACTAGCTGCACTGCAGAGGTGGCAAGGTGGGTGGCCAGCTGGGTGAAGAGTTACAGAGAGAGCAGCTAAGAGCCTAAGGCACATCTTTCCTTTCTTCTGCAGCCCCCGAGATTCTCTCTGGCCTCAGGCCCTGGAGGGATAAGCCTCTAATGTAAGGTTTCCCTACAGTGACCTCCTGTAGGCTCAGAGACAAGATTTTGAAAGGATGAGGAAGTCCACCATGAAGCTGCTGAGCTGAAAGTAAATGGCCAGAAGCTCTGGGCTCTGACAAGATAAATGCCACAGCTCAAGGTTTAGAACACCATGGTCTGAACATCCCCCTCAGAGCCTCCTGCCTGAGTCCATCTGCTAAGATGCCGCAGCTCCCCAGCAAGCCATTCCCAGGAGGCCTTCAGGTGCACCAGACTGGTTCCAGGCTGCCTTGCTGCTTGCTCGGTCTCCTGGGTACAGCACATGGTGAAGAGGCTGGCTGAAGGAGTGTGGAAGGAAACTGGGGACTGGGCATTCACCTCCCCTGACCCCTGAGACCACTCAGAAATCTTCAGAGCCCGAAACCCTCCCCCAAGATTCTCTGCCTCCACTGAACAACCAAGCCCCCACTTCCTCCCCATGTTGTCCAGTACCTCACCTTTAGTATCTCTGCTTTTTATCCCGCCCCTAGCTCCTCTCACCATGTGCCTGCCTCAGCATCTGTCAGTGGTAAGGCCCTTGCCATATCTGCTATCACATTAAATGCTGAACACCTCTTTGCTAAGAATGTCTCAGTATGAATCTTCTCAGAGAATACTGTTTATTAAGCCCTTCTCACATGCCAGACACTGCTCATGCGTATTTTATCCTTATTAACAATGTCGAGGGACATTCACCCATTTTACAGGCTTAAGGAGATAAAGTAATCTGGTCAGGTCAGTAGGTTGTCTGATCTCAAAATCCCAAGCTATCAACAACTAACTACCTTGCCTTTCCACATGTAGTAGTCAGTCTCCCTTACACAGAAATGGGGCTTCTTCCAGTGATAGGCTGTATTATCTCCAATTACTTGCTCACCTATGCCCTGCCCTCACTGTGTCCCCTGTAAGAGCACTGTCAATCCTCTCCACTGCCTGGTGGCTTGCAGAGCCCCTCCATGAGGAGCATCCACTCCCATCTTATTGGTAAGAGGCTGGACCAGAGAGAACAGGATTGGGAGATATAAAGTTCTTGAAAGCAGAAACTTTAAGAGGTATCACACATTCCTGCTGACTCTCCTGCTCTTTCTTGTCTGCAACAAGAACAAATCTCAAATAATGGCTGTTCCTCCAGCCTGGAGCCTGGAAAGAAAAGACATTTGGGGCAGAATATCAGCAGCCAAACGCACAGCTGCTGACATGTAAGCAAGAGGAAGTGTGAGCAAGCAATAAAGAACTGTTTGCTGTTGTAGCCAGAGAGACTGGAGTTGTTGTGACCACAGCAAAGCCAACTAAAACACTTCTATTCCACGGATGCAAGCTGAAGCTAGAAGCAAGATGCTAGGCTGCCTGCACATTACAGGAAGGACAAGGATGGGCCCTGGGTAGCTGAGGCCGAGGTCAGAGGCATGTGGAGCCCCAAATCCCTACTTACCCGGAGGAGGTCCCTGTCCATAAGGCCCAGGGGGTGGGCCACCGTAGGAATTTGGAGGTGGCTGACCATAGGGACCCCCTGGGGCTGCACCACCATAGGGTCCTCCTGGAGCTCCAGAGGGGAAGGCCCCAGGGTTAGGGTATCCGTAAGGTGCTCCAGGGGCTGGACCTCCTCCATAACCGCCACCAGGGGGAACCCCGCTGCCATATTGCCCTCCCGACGCTTGGTCGCCAGTTCCTGAGAAGGCCTGTAAAAAAGCAAGGTATTAGTCTGAAAACCATCAACAAAAGAAAAAAAACAACAGTGTCGGGCATAAAGAAAATGATCAATAAATCATTATTACATCATCATCATCATCATCAGAAAAGCCCTGTGCAGTAAACTAGGCAGAGATATAAAGGAGAGGGACAAGTTCTGAAGGAGCTCACAGTGGACAGGAGAGGCATGGAAATCCTGTCCGTAACACCTAACGAACCCGCATAAGGAAACAGGTGTGTAAAATGGACGCCTGAGTCATGTGCCATGGATCACAAATGAGATGGTGAAACCAGGGTTTCCCTAAGAAAGCAGCATTTGAGCTGAGACCTAAAACTGAAAACGATTCCCAAGGAAGTTGGAGAGGGATGACGACCCAATTTACTAGTAACCTCTTCAGCCAAAAGAGGGGAAGGGACTTGTTCATATCACACTACTAGAGGCCCGGTGCACAAAATCATGCACAGGTAGACCAGCAGGGCAATCGGGGGTTGGGGCCCTGCTGGCATCCATCTTGGCCAACCTCGTGCCACCAATCATCAGCCCCCTCCGACCCCACTGCTGCTGCATGTCGATGACCAGCAGGGTATGGGGGAAGGGGAGCCGCTGGCACCCGCCTTAGCTGGCCTGGAGCCTGCGGGCTGTGGGAGCTCCTTCGTTGAGTGTCTGTCCCCTGGTGGTCAGTGTGCAATCGTTCCACCATTCAGTCAATTTGCATATTAGGCTATTATAAAGGATGAGTTGAAGGTAGAGGCGAAGCTAGATCACTCCCCACCCACGCCCAAACCCAAACACTCCCATTGCTCCTGCAATAGGGAATAGGATTCCAAGGTAGGATAGAAAAGGGAGTGGGGACTGAAAAGTCTGGGCACACCCAAAGAACAGGCTGGACACCAAGCCAGGAAGTAGCTCTCCACAATGAGCCCTGTGAACAAAGCCATAAACTGCTTCTGGCCGAGGGCACCCTCGGAAATGCCCCAAGGCCAACAAAGCAGGGGCTGCCAGACAGATCTTCTGGCCTTCCCTACCACATTCTAGAGGCCTGATGCAACCTGGCAGCAACCAAACCCTTTCCTTCCCGCCCTGCATTAAAGCCATCACGTGTAGTTTACAAAGCACTTTCACATACGCACAAATGGTCCTGGCAGAATCCTGTCAACAATCCTTGCTGCGCCCTGCACAGCGGGTTCAGGAGGGACTGCAGGAGGACCAATGCACAAAGACACTACTCAAGAAATAAGTTTTAAGCACTGGGGCCAGGTGGAACCTCTTTTGGGAGAAGAACCACAAGTCCTAGTCTTGCCTGTTTTTATTCAGCTTGGTCATACACTGCTTTTAGTAAAGCATGTAGGCAGAGCACATAGTAAGCATAGCATTAAAGGTTGATAGAAGTCAGTAACATTTACTCAAAGATTATCAGGTCAGGGAATGCTTCCACACACCGCAACCTCAGCAAGAGCAATCTGTGCTGCTGTTGGCCCTGCAGACGGCCAAGGTTTATGGCCTTCCAATTCCTTGTTGCACTTTCATGCCCATGCTGCTATGCGGTGGTCTCTGGCATCTCCCCCCTTTTCTTTTCTTACTAAATCTTGAAAAGCTGTCTGTAGAGCTTGGGTCTTTTTAAGACTTCATTTGCATTTTGCAAACTAAAAATACAGACAAACCCAAGAATAAGAAAGACAATAGTGGTTATGCTAAAAGGTAAATGTAGGGAGACCCAATGAAAAGGATTGAATTTTTCCATATCCTTTTTAAATTGTTGCTAGGCATCTATGGAACTAGTTTGTAAGTTTGCGTGGGATAATTGTGCAATATGTTGTTGTAATTTTAAAATATTAAAGGTTGTGTTACCTTTACCCTAAGTACCTACCAAGAAGGTGATTTTTTACTGATTCCCAAGGACCTAAAAATGCTGTTATAGGGAACAGGAGTCACACAAATCTAGGAAAAATTATGACGACACTCTAGGGACATTCTTTGCTCTTAGCTGTGGATTTTATCACTCATTCATAGAACTGTTGATTTTAATGCCAATAATTCTATTTCAAATTGACTGTCAATTCTTTTTTTGTATGGCTAAGGTCTTACATTTTTTTTTTCTTTTTTAAATATTTTATTGATTTTTTACAGAGAGGAAGAGAGGGGAATAGAGAGTCAGAAACATCGAAGAGAGAGAAACATCGATCAGCTGCCTCCTGCACACCCCCTAGTGGGGATGTGCCCGCAACCAAGGTATGCCCTTGACCGGAATTGACCCTGGGATTTTTCAGTCCGCAGGCTGACGCACTATCCACTGAGCCAAACCGTTTTCGGCATAGGGTCTTACAATTTTCTTAACTTGTTGTACAAACTGAAAAGTTTGAACAGTTTGTACCATGAAGCAGCAATTCTCACAGAAATAACAATACTAGAGCCAAGAGTACTGCAATTAACATTCCAAGGAATTTTTGTCATTTTAAGATTTTTACTATGTCATGTAATAGTGGTAGGTTTGATGAGATTCCCAAGGCTCAGTTAGGTGAGTAGGAACCCAAGCGAAAACAGGTTGTCTTAGTATCACAAGGGAATTCTTTCAATAGGTAGAATTAACACAATGGGACAGTGTGCAGCCTGTGATGATACCTTATACAATTGACTTGTATTAAGTTGTATCTGGATGGAGCCTGAGAGGAGTACAAAAAGATCAAATACACAGGCGGTGGCAAGTACTGTCTTATTGGGAGTTCCCCATAGGCTGTAAGTATGAGTAGAGTTATTTAAGCTATAGTGATAACTATACCATTCCATAGGTGGAAGTGCAGTAGCTCATTTCCATTGTGTTTTGTAGGGGCCAATGATCACGTTGTAATTGAGATCCAACAAATCCTCCTCCATGCCACGAAGTGGAGTGATTAGATTCAACATACAGGCAGGATGCAGTCCCTTTCCATTTCAAGGTGTGATTGCTACTATATGCAGACCCATGGGGGCACCAATTCACAAAAGAAAATTATTGTTTTCAGAACTTGTCCCTATGTAAGATTGTTGTTGGTGGAGTAGGCTCTATAACAGTCTTGCCAATTAATTTCTTCCCCTGTGGGATACCAGTTATAAAAATTTTTACCTAATGGCTTGGGAGGGACATCTTATTAATAATACATTTTCTGTACCTCTCCCAGGAGCACCCAGGGAGAGTAGATGTGGGCTTTTGCGGGGCCCACCCCCACCCCCACTTCCTTTGGTGTCCATGCTAACCAAAGACTTCTCTTTAATTCTACACACAAAGGTGCAGTAGTTTGATTCTTTGTCATACAAAAGGGAAGGTGTGTGGTGACACCCGTATAATTATAGTTTGCCCAGATACTTCCTTGTCCTACCTGTGGTCCCCCTGGGGATGAACAAGGTGCTTGGTATTATTGGTGACTATACGAGGTGGGGGATCAGCCCAGGTAAGGGGTCTCACCCATGGAGGGTCAGGAACATAAGTATATACACTTCCCCATGTGCCCTTAGTAGTATTACCGCACAACTGACGACTGCTAGCGTGGCAAGGAAAACATTCTCAGGTGTTCTCGGGATTCTTGTGTCCTCACAAACTTTCTCAGCTTTATGAATTGTCTTCTTCACCATTCCCATGTCATTTCCAGACTCTCTCTTGTCTGCTTCTTTCACATCCTACTCCTTATCTTCCTCACGTTACTTGGGGCTAATGCTTCTTGGGGGCAGAGTGGTTGATTGTCTGCGGCCACAGGTACAGGTTGAGGTGGTACAGGTTGAGGGGATACAGGTTGAGGGGGTACAGGTTGAGAGGGTACAGGTTGAGGGGGTACAGTTGAGAGGGAACAGATTGAGGTTCCCGGTGCATGGTTTTCAATAGTTTGGTCAGTTCCTTCTGTGGATCCATGTTGAAGTTTGATGTTCCTTGCAAGAATCCACTCAGGCGTGGAGTAATTTCCTGGAAATACATAAGCATATTCTCGACCAAATGTTAACAAAGGGTCGGGACCCTTCCATAAATCAGACTCAGGATCCTTCCACCTGACCACGCCTTTTTCCTTTGGCTCATCACAACACCAGTTCTGCTTCATTGGGGTCTTACCATCAATGTTACAAGTGAAAAAATTTAAGGTAATTAAGGCTTGATGTAGTCTACCTACGAGAGATTTCTCTAGTATTTCCCTTTTTTGTTTTCCAAGTTGGGATTTTAGCCATTGATGTTGGTGTTCCACAACTGCCTGTTCTTGGGAGTTGCCTGGTATTTCTGTAATGTGTTGAATTTTTCATTTTGCATAAAATTGCTAGAAATGACAGCTTGTGTATGCAGGTCCATTGTCAGTTTTAATAATTTTTGGAATTCACATGGTAGCAAAAGCAATTCGGCAATGACTAATGATTTGTTTTGCCATTTTCCCTGTAGATGGGATGGCCCAAAGGACCTTTGAAAAGGTTTCTACAGAGACATGCAATGCCCCAAGATGTCCAAAAGGAGTATAATGCATTTTTGCCAGATATGGTCCCTTTTCAATTCCCGAGGGTTAATTTCTGTATTAGGCCCTTGAGGCAGATGTAACATACAAGTGGGACATTCCTTGATAATTTGTTTAGCCTGCTGTGACTGAGAATTATTTAGATAATATTTTGGCAGGCTGATGTAAAAGCTGATGAGATTCTGTGGCATGCTGTAATGAAACGACTGATTGACATATGCATTTTGTTTTGTTAACTGACCAGGCAGGGTTGTATAAGTCCTCATAGCCTATATAATAATCCTATATAATAAAAGGGTAATATGCAAATTGACGGGGAACGACCAGTTGCTATGACATGCACTGACCACCAGGGGGCAGATGCTCAATGCAGGAGCTGTCCCCTGGTGGTCAGTATGCTTCCACAGGGGGAGCCCTGCTCAGCCAGAAGCCGGTTCATGACTGGTCAGGCAGCAGCAGTGGTGGGAACCTCTCCCACCTCCTCAGCAGTACTAAGAATGTTCAACCAACAGCTTATGCCCAATCCCCAGGGAGCAGGCCTAAGCTGACAGGTGGACATCAGCCAAAGGGACCCGGACTGCAACAGGGTGCAGACTAAAGGACCCCCCCAAGTGCATGAATTTCTGTGCACCAGGCCTCTGGTGAGTAATATAAAAGGGATATTGTCTTTGGTGTACAATTTGCTGTACTGTTTAAACAGTATAGACTTGGGTCACTGAGCCATTTTAATCAAGCAGTTTCAATTTTGTTTCCTAGGCCAGTAGCAGAGAGAATTAGAAATATTGAGAGGCTTCTGGAAATTTTGCAATGCAGCCTTGAGAGCCTTTAACTTAATTCTTTGTACAGAAGTGTGACTTGGTCTGAGTTTTTTGTATGATGTGCAGCCTTACCATTAGAGGAGCCACCAGTAAAAATAGTTAATGCTTCAGGAAAAGGTTCCTGTCTGGTACTTTTTGGTATAATAATTGGGGTGTAATATAAAAATTGTAATTTGTCTTTTAGTAGGTGACAACTAAGTGCCCCCGAATATTCATTTATTCCAATTTGCCCATTTAAATCATTCTGAAATAAGGTTTCTAACTACTTCCCGGTAAGGGGGGGATAAATGTACTGGGGCTTTTCTTCTTTAAGCTGCCTGCAGTGCTTTTTGAGTTGAGGTATTAACTGAGCCATGAGTTCTATATATGTAACCAGTTTTAGAGGTTTGATGCCCCAGATGAATTCACTTAATAATAGGAGGAGAGTTCTTGTTTTGAAAGATGACCTCAGTGGGACTGTTTGTAGTAGGATTGATCTGTCCTAACACAGGCAACTCAGGCTGTACCCATGCTACTTGGGCTGAGGATGTGGCCTGTTTAATTTTTAGTAACTATTCGATACTCCCTAGCTTTATCTGTCAACCTTTGGGGTGAGGAAAGATCAGTGTCACCCCTAAGTTATTGAATAAATTTGTCATTGTTTCTGTAGAGATTTTTAGATAAGGTCTTAACCAATTAATGTCCTTTAATAATTTCTAAAAGTCATCCGGGGTTTTAAGGCAATTATTATTATTATTTTTTGTATTTCTACCTTTTGAGGCCTAATACATTGGTTTTTAATTATGGTTCCTAAGTATCTGAAGGGCATTTCTCTCCGTACCTTTTCTGGAGCAATTTTTAAGCCCTACTTAGGAAATTTTTTCTTTAATTAAGTGGTCAACAACCTTTCGGACTTCATGGACCACCAGTGGTCACCACTGGTTGGTGACCACTGCTTTAATTGGGTAAACATTGCTAAAGTCTGCTTTTCCCGTTGGCTTGCCAAGAGCAAGTCGTCCATGTAATGGATAATGCATGGTTGAATAGCTTGAGCAACATATTTTTGACACAAGGTGGGGCTATTGGCCATTCTTTGAGGCAAAACTTTTCATTGATATTTTTTCATAGGCTTTACATTGTTCATGGATGGTACTGAAAAGGCAAATTTTTGTTTAGGTGCCAAGGGAATGGTGAAAAAAAAAATTCTTGAGATTTACTACTATAAGAGACCAATTTAGAGGTATTTGTGAAGGCACTGGGAGTCCAGGCTGTCAAGCTCCCATGGTGTGTATAGTACCATTAACTGCTTTAAGATATGTAACAATCGCCACTTTCCTGTCGCCTTCTTAGATATTGTCAATATAGGAGTATTCCAAGGACTATTAATAGGCTCTAGGTGGCCAGCCTTCAGTTGTACCTGTATTAATTCATGAATATGACCTAATTTTTTCTTGGTTAATGGCCACTGATTTACTCATATAGGTTTATTATCTTTATATTGTATAGGATTAGCATGAGGATGAGTAGATTGACTAATGGCCATTCCTAAAAAGGTTGCTATTGTACTTCTTGTCTCCCTGGGTTCCCTTTGGCTTGAATGGTTTTCTAATCCCCTGATTATTTTCCCCTAAACCTTGACCAGCTTGATACTCCATCTGAGTTATTAACTGCTATCCCTGCCAGTTACAATATGTGCCAAACATCCACCCCAAAAGTTGACTGAAATTCCGGAGTCTATAAAGGACTGAAACCATTCTCTTTGTCCTTTCTTATTTTGCCATTTTAACACTGAAGTACTGTGTTGAGTATTATCAGGAACTCTAACCCCTGTAATAGACCCCATAGTTTCTACTACAGACCAATTTGGAGACCAGAATTCTTTACTAATAACACTGACATTAGCTCCAATATCTACTAAACCCTTAGTTTTTCCTTTATTTTTAAATTATAGGGTGGGTTTTAAAATTTTCATTGCTACTGTTATGAATCATAATGTAAATATCTGTGTTTTCCAATGGTCTTAAGCGACCCACAGGTTGAGAACTGCTGCTTATAGAGACCACAGATATTTACATTACGATTCACTAACAGTAGCAAAATTACAGTTATGAAGTAGCAACGAAAATAATTTTATGGTTGAGGGTCATCACAACATGAGGAACTGTATTAAAGGGTCGGGGCGTTAAAAAGGTTGAGAACCACTGCTTTAGGAAGTGTCCTGGCTTCCCACAATTAAAACATTTTTTTTACTCCCCGCTGTTACAACAGTAGCTAGTAAGTTTGCTTGAAAAGTGCTTGATTCTACATCCTGACATGCTAGAATTATTTCTGTAATAGTACCACTTTTTCTTAGAGGTATCAGATATTTTTTACAATCAGCATTGGCATTTTCATATGCTAGCTGCTGAATCAAGTGTCTCCTGCTGTTACATGCTGTATTTGCCATCTCACTACTCAGGTAAGGTGACCCCCGAAATCAGAAAATGATTCCATGGGTCCCTGCATACACTTAATAAAAGCTCCCTCAGGATCCCTTTAGCTGGTAAAGCCCACCAGGCTTTTCTTCCACAAAGTCTAATCTGCTCATAAGCTTGTTGCACATACCCTAGCTGATTTTGCAAGTCACTGTATTGTCCTGGTCCTGCTAACATTTCAGAAGTCGTTTGAACATTCTGCCCTCAATTAGTACAATCCTGCTCTTGACATCTCTCAAAAATTCTCCCTTCCACAGTAAGAAGTCCCCTCCATCTAGGGCTGCCACGAGCCAGAGTACCAATCAAAAGGAGGCAGGAATGCATCAGAAATGTTAGTCATGATTTCTCTAGTAAAGGGAGCTGTAGGACCATTTCGTACTATGCTTTCACGCAAAGCCTTTATCATTTTCAAGTCAAATTTGTCACGCTATCTTAGTATTTGATTTGAATTATGTGGGTTAGCTACCTCTATAACAGGAAAAGCAAGTCTCTCCTCCACTGTCATGTCCCTTAATCCCTCTCGGATAGCTTTTTGAACAGCTGATTCTATTAGCGGCGAATCAATATTTCAGGATCAGAACACAGAGATGGAGGAGGACATGAAAGCCATTTCTCTAATTTGTCTTTTTGGTCCTCTGTGGGAGCGGAAGGAGCGGAGGGCATAAGGCAGGAGTCTATCCTCCTTTGCCTTTCTAAAAAATTCCAGCAAGTGTAATACCGTGTTCCACAGGAGAAACAATCTGGGGGCAAGTTTTTCCCCTGCCGATGAGCTCTTTTCAAATTCTGTCCTACTCTTTCCCAACACTCTCCATCTAACGATCTCAGGAATTATGTCTTTGATGATATACTGTAAGAGAATACCTTCTGACACCTTAATTCCCTTTTCCTTGAGCATGTAAGCCAACAGGTCTGCAATAATGTTTTCCCCTTCACTTGAATTCTGCCCCATAATGGCCTGGCTAATTTCAGAAAAGTCCTCGTCCACTTAGGGTTGCAGCTGGCACAGGCTTGTGTGGTCATCGAACT